TTTTCCTTTTTGTCTTTTTTCATGTCCAGCAACGGACCGCAGCCCTCAGTGTCGCGCCCGTACCAGACCAGGACCGGCAACGGGATCACAACCCTTGGCGCTGCGCCCGCACCTCGCTCCACCAGCGAGCGGGAACCGGTCTGTATGTGGGATCCGAACCCTCGGCGGGAGTGCCACCATGCTCCCAAGCGGCGCACTGTAGCAGTGCGCCACTGGGCCGGCCCTGTAGTTCCCTACTTCATATGAGAGTGCTTCATAAAGTTCATGGAAAAATAGAATTAAAGGATAATATGAATCTTTCCATGAGTTTTTTTTTTTCCTTTTTGTCTTTTTTCGTGTCCAGCAACGGATCGCAACCCTCAGTGTCGCGCCCGGACCGGGACCGGCAACGGGATCACAACCCTTGGCGCTGCGCCCGCACCTCGCTCAACCAGTGAGCGGGAACCGGTCTGTATGTGGGATCCGAACCCTCGGCGGGAGCGCCGCCGTGCTCCCAAGCGGCGCACTGTAGCAGTGCGCCACCAGGCCGGCCCCTCCATGAGCTTTTTGAAGTACCCTTATAGCTCTTTCCATGGTAGTTTGCTCTTCAAGGCCTGCAGGAGAGCCTCTCACTCTAGTCTGCTCACACAGTATAATGTCGTGTGATCAAGAGGGTGACATCTCATCACCTTCCCATATTGTATTGATTAGAAGCAAGTCACACATTCTTCTCGCATGCAAGGGGATTATATGAAGACATGACTCATTGGGGGTCAGTGTCGTGTGTGTCTTCCCCAGAAACTTTGAGAAGATATTAATACCTATAATCTATAAACTTACATTGACCATTTGGGCTCCTGTCAAAAGCCGGAAATGAGATTAGCAATAAATACAGCTAAAGTTCTGGTTAAGGTATTTATACTTTTCTGAAACTGTGTGATAAGCAAAGCTTTCTACTCTAATAATACCAATATTTGCAACGTGGTTTATAGTTTCATAAGCACTTATAAATCTATTATTACATCTGATGTAATTCTCAGGACAGTCCGGTGATGTAGACAGGTATCCCTGTTTATAAATGAAGACATTGAGGGTATTAGCAAAGCCTTCAGAAAAAATCACATAGCCAGTAAATGGTGAAATAGGTGTTTTAACTTCCTGTCACCAAGGTAGAGTTGTAGCATAGAACTATTGATGGTATGGATGTTCATCAAATATGCTATGATAATGAGGTAAGTTTTATTTTATATGTAAATACTAATAAGTTCTATGTGAATATGCAAATAAAATATAATCTTTATAACAATGCAGTAGTTCTATGCCTGGCAGTACAGTATCTCCAATCCATAAAATATTCCCATAAGTAGTATCTCCATTTCACAGAAGAGATAACTGAGGTTTAAGCAGGTTGTCATTTATCCAAGGTCATATATTGGGGATCTGACTTCAGAATGTAGGATGAAACTAATTCAATCAAAATAACCTTCTATTTTTGCCTTGTATTACTGGATAAAATTTCTAAACTTAAAATTTTTAGTTTATAACCTCTCTTTTTGAAGGTAGTGCATTCCACATCTCAAAAGTCATGTACCATTGAATTATTTTCATATTAGATTTTAAAGGATTTCCTTTACTAATATAAAATAATTAGCTGAAGTGAGTTATGTGACATTTAGCATAAAAACTACAGTTATTCTTGGGGCCGGCCCGGTGGCGCACTGCTATAGTGCGCTGCTTGGGAAGCACGGCGGCGCTCCCG